TCACAACCTAGCAAAAGTAAACAAGTAGGCATATATATATAGTGATCACAGTACAAGCAAGGTCAAGAGGTAAGCAAGTGAGGCCCAGTGGGTACAAGGCCTAGCAGAGTGCAAAAGCGCTGATGGTCACAAGGCTGAAGCGCCTTGGTGAACACATCAGCAGTGTTGGCCTCCGTGGCCACGTAACGCAGACAAAGCTGACCACGCTGCTGCAGCTCTCGAGCAAGGAAGTACCGCAGAGCGATGTGCTTCATTCTGTGCTCCAGTCTGTGCTCCTCACACAAGGCAATGGCAGCCTTGTTGTCGACGTACAGCACTGGAGGAGAACGAGGCCGCTCTCCGAGGTCGGTCAGCAGGTAGGTCAGCCAGCGTAGCTCCTGAGCAGCCATGGCTGTGGCGTAGATCTCAGCCTCACAACTGGAGCTGAGAACAGAAGAAGAGCGAGTAGAACGCCAAGAAACTGAGCCAGAGCCAAGGCTGAAGGTGTAACCCTGGGACGACCGCTGAGTAGCCTGGTCGTCTGCCCAAGAAGCGTCTGAGTGCCCTGTGAGAACAACCCGGTCTCGCCCTCCAAGCACAAGCCCCATGCCCGACGTACTGCACAAGTAGCGCAACACCCTCTTAGCAGCATCCATGTGCTCCTTCCGGTGACGGCCAGGAGCGACATAGCGTGCTAGGATGCTAAGAGGGTATGCAAGGTCAGGTCGAGTGCAGGTCATCAGGTACATGAGGCAGCCCACAAGCTCTGGATACGGGCCACTCGGCTCTACGGACTCATCCGAAGGCAGAGCTGAGAGCGAGTGACCGGTAGGCAGAGGAGTGGACTGAGGCGAGGAGTACGTGAAGCGGAAGCGCTGGAGAACCTGCTGCACCATGTGTGACTGAGTCAGGGTGATGGTGCGCCGTGCTCTGTCCCGGGTGATCCGCAAGCCAAGATAGCTCGTCAGCTCACCCAGGTCTGTGCACGTGTGTCTCCTCTGCAGCTCCGACTTCACGTGAGCGAGTGCCGCGGTGTCAGCAGTGGCAAAGACCAAGTCGTCGACGTACACGAGGATGTAGAACGGCGGCAGCGAGGTGTCGGTGCGTAGAAACAGCGACGGGTCAGCAGTAGAGGGAGCAAACCCAAGAGCCGCAAGTGTCGTCCTCAGTGTGTCGTGCCACTCACGTGGCGCCTGGCGGAGACCGTAGACCGGCCGCTGAAGCCTCCACTGGGTGCCAGGAGGAACTGACCCAGTGAAGCCAGGGGGGCGGCGCAGCCAGATCTCCTCGTGCAGGCTGCCCTGCAAGAAAGCAGTGCTGAAGTCAAGAGAGTGAAGCTCGTAGTCTCGGTGAGCGGCTATGTGCAGCAGCATCCGAAGAGTAGTCATCTTCGGGGTGGGGGAGAAGGTCTGAAAGAAGTCTACTCCCTCTCGCTGACTGAAGCCTCGAGCCACGTAGCGCGCCTTGAAGACAGGTGGAGAACCCGGCGGCCGCTTCACCCTGAAAATCCACATGCCACTGACGATGTTCGCCCCAGGAGGGGGAACCTCGTCTACGTAGGTGCCTGTGGACTTCCAGGAGGCCATCTCTGCGTCCATGGCTGTCTGCCACTGAGAGGAGTAGGGACCCGCCATCGCCTCAGCGTAAGAGCGTGGGGTCGGGATGTCTGGTGCATCCGGGTCTCCCTCAGGGGCAACTAGCAAGGACACGAGACGGGGCAAAGCAGCAGCAAGGCAGTGGAACTCCTCCTGTCTGTCCTCAAGGACGTCCGTGCCGAGGGCACACTCACCCCCGACGGACGGAGGACAGGCAGACGCAGACTCAGACCTAGCGACAAGGCTGGCAGCGTAGTCTAGGCGACAGCGAGCAGCAAAGTCAACCAACTCAGCGACCAGAGCAGACGCAGCAGAGGACTCAAAGGTCGGGTCAGTGACAACTGTAGCGAGGAGACGCGTAACAGTGGGACTGGCAGCACGACGGGAGTCAGACTCCGGGTCAGGAAGAGTAGGAAGAGAGGACGCAGGAGGAGACGGCAGCGGGACACGCTGCGGAGCAGTGGAGGGACGCAGAGTCATGTAGTGAGTGCCAGGGACAGGAGGAGGACGCTCACGTGGGACACGACGACCAGTGCGAGCAGTACGAACAGGCGACGCAGGACGAGACTCAGGCTCACGACGCTCTGTAAGACCTCCTGTGGGACCAGCGTAAGGGGAGGGAGCAGGGAGAGGCGAGGCAGGCGGTAACTGTGACTGCGGCTGGACAGGCAGAGGACACTCGACGGAGGGAGGAGGACTAGGAGGAGGAGCCTGACCAAGAACCTGCTGAAGGAGCGGTACGAAGTACGGTCGCGGCCGCGCAGCGTCTCCAGAAGCAGCAGGGACACCAGTGGCAGCCCCAACGCCCGAGTCCTCAGTACCAGCAGCAGCTCCAACGCCCGGGTCCTCAGCACCAGCAGCAGCACCACCGGTCGGGTCCTCAGCACCAGCAGCAGCTCCAACGCCCGGGTCCTCAGCACCAGCAGCACGGCCACTGGTCAGGTCCTCAGCACCAGCAGCAGCGCCACCGGTCGGGTCCTCAGCACCAGCAGCAGCTCCAACGCCCGGGTCCTCAGCACCAGTAGCAGCTCCAGCCCCCGGGTCCTCAGCACCAGCAGCAGCTCCAGCGTCCGGGTCCTCAGCACCAGCAACAACACCACCGCTCGGGTCCGCAGCACCAGGAGCACCACTACGAAGACTGCAGCGCCGCGTGTACCACTCGCGGATCACCTGAATGGGGGGGAGCTCCTGGGTAGGAGGGGAAGTACCGGGACGAGCTCCAGAAGCACCTCTCCGGAGGCGGCAGTACTCGAGGTACCTCTCCTGCAGCTGCTGGGAGGAGAGGGCTCCTCCAGGTGGAGCACGCTCAGGCTCAGCACCCCCAGGCTCAGCACCCCCAGGCTCAGTACCTCCAGGCTGCTCGCGGGCAGTTCGCGGGCTGTGCGCGGGCTGCGCGGGCTGGTCGCGGGCTGCGCAGGCGGTTCGCGGGCTGTGCGTGGGCGGTTCGCGGGCTGTGAGCGCGGCGCGCTGTGCGGTTCGCGGGCGGCGTGACGGGGCCGATCGGGGCGCTAAGGGGCGACGCGACGGGGGCCGTGAGAGGCCGCTAGGAAAAAAAATTCGAAGGGGCCGCAGGGCCGCTAGATCGTGCTAGATCGACGGGGCCAGCGGGGCCGGAAACAAGCGAAGGTAAGCAGGTAGGTAAGTCGGTGGGCCCTAAGAACAGTCCTAGCGAAGGACCTGCTCTGATACCATGTCAGAAATAACTGAGCAGGAATGGAATGAACTAGCACAGAGTTTGGTACAAGTAGGAAACCCTAACTTTGAGTACCCCCTAAGGTGTAACCCACTACAGCCTACATAATATAAACATGCAATGTTTGACACATCAGGTACATGAGGCAGCCCACAAGCTCTGGATACGGGCCACTCGGCTCTACGGACTCATCCGAAGGCAGAGCTGAGAGCGAGTGACCGGTAGGCAGAGGAGTGGACTGAGGCGAGGAGTACGTGAAGCGGAAGCGCTGGAGAACCTGCTGCACCATGTGTGACTGAGTCAGGGTGATGGTGCGCCGTGCTCTGTCCCGGGTGATCCGCAAGCCAAGATAGCTTGTCAGCTCACCCAGGTCTGTGCACGTGTGTCTCCTCTGCAGCTCCGACTTCACGTAGGCGAGTCCTGCAGTGTCAGCAGTGGCAAAGACCAAGTCGTCGACGTACACGAGGATGTAGAACAGCGGCAGCGAAGTGTCGGTGCGCAGGAACAGCGACGGGTCAGCTGTAGAAGGCGCGAACCCAAGAGCCGCAAGTGTAGTCCTCAGTGTGTCGTGCCACTCACGCGGAGCCTGGCGGAGACCGTAGACCGGCCGCTGAAGCCTCCACTGGGTACCAGGAGGAAACGACCCAGTGAAGCCAGGTGGGCGGCGCAGCCAGATCTCCTCGTGCAGGCTGCCCTGCAAGAAAGCAGTGCTGAAGTCAAGTGAGTGAAGCTCGTAGTCGCGGTGAGCGGCTATGTGCAGCAGCACCCGAAGAGTGGTCATCTTCGGGGTGGGGGAGAAGGTCTGGAAGAAGTCAACTCCCTCTCGCTGACTGAAGCCTCGAGCCACGTAACGCGCCTTGAAGACAGGCGGAGAACCCGGCGGCCGCTTCACCCTGAAAATCCACATGCCACTGACGATGTTCGCCCCAGGAGGGGGAACCTCGTCGACGTAGGTGCGTGTGGACTTCCAGGAAGCCATCTCGGCGTCCATGGCTGTCTGCCACTAAGAGGAGTAGGGACCCGCCATCGCCTCAGCGTAAGTGCGCGGGGTCGGGATGTCTGGTGCATCCGGGTCTCCCTCAGGGGCAACTAGCAAGGACACGAGACGGGGCAAAGCAGCAGCAAGACACTGGAACTCCTCCTGTCTGTCCTCAAGGACGTCCGTGCCAAGAGCACACTCACCCCCGACGGACGGAGGACAGACAGACTCAGACTCAGACTCAGCAACAAGGCTAGCAGCGTAGTCTAGACGACAGGCAGCAGCAAAGTCAACCAACTCAGCGACCAGAGCAGACGCAGCCGAGGACTCAAAGGTAGGGTCAGTGACAACAGTAGCGAGGAGACGCGTGACAGTAGGGTGCTCAGCACGATACCGGTCAGACTCAGGGTCCGGAACGTCAGGCAAAGAGGACGCAGGAGGAGACGGTAGAGGGACACGCTGAGGAGCAGTAGAGGGACGCAGAGTCATGTAGTGAGTGCCTGGGACAGGAGGAGGACGCTCACGACGGACACGACTACCAGTACAAGCAGGACGAACAGGCGACGCAGGACGAGACTCAGGCTCACGACGCTCTGTAAGACCTCCTGTGGGACCAGTGTAAGGAGAAGGAGCAGGGAGAGGCGAGGTAGGCGGAGGGAGCACCCTGGGAAGACCAGCAACAAGGTCCCGTTTGTGCATGGCCCGAAGGCGCTGCACAGACGGGTGACCAAGGCGGTGGTGCCAAAGGACAGTCTCATGCGCCAGAGAGCGACACGAGCAGGGGGCGGACAGCTGACCTGACGCAGACGCAGACGCGGACGCAGCTACCTGAGGGGACTCAGTGGTCAGTGTGTAAAGGTCCGACCCCGGCTCCCGAGTGAAGGTAGCCAGGTGGCGACCCGTCCGAGCACACGTGCAGTGTGTCACGCGCTCGTAGGCAGGGGTGAACTGGTGAACACCCCCGTCCTGGAGTGCACTACCTGCCACCAAGTTCGTAGAGAACGAGGGGAGGTAGAGACCTGACAGCGTGCCGGACGGGACCGCCGGACAAGGAAGGACAGTGGAGGAGGTCGCAATGACCAGACCCCCAGAGGGGTCAGCAAGGGAGACAGCAACTGGCCGAGCGAGTGGCTCAAGGACAGTGCGGTCACGAAAGAAAGAGCGAGAAGCACCTGAGTCCAGTGTGAAGGTGTGCAGTGCTGCAGTCGACTCAGTACCAGGGGGCACGGACGCACGAGCACCTAGGGCTGCAGCCTCACCAGGACCTGTGGGAGCAGACGCACTAGCATCTAGAGCGGCAGCCGGGCTGGCCTGAATGCCCGGGTCGGGCGGAACACGCAAGTACTGAGCACCCTCTCCACTAATAGACATCGCATACATGGCAGTGAGAATAGCATCAAAGTCTAAAGCCCAAATATCAACACCCCTCTTTTCCAGATCAGCCCAGCGCGGCAGCTCAGTGGCAGCAGGAAACTGAGTGCGCCACGCGTCGTTAAGGCGCGCGAAGCAGCGCTGCGTGGGGTGCGGCCTCCCACACTGCTGGCCGCTGCGGTCACCTGTGCGAATGACGTACGTGCAGGTAACGCTACGCTGCGCATACCACTCACGGGCGGCCTGAAGCGTCGGGGCGGGCTGCTGACTCTGCCCTCCGCCAGTGCCTCCACGACCACCACCCCCACCGCCGCCGCCCCGGCCACCTCCACCCCTGCCGCCGCCACGACCACCTCCGCCTCCGCTGCCGCCTCCACCACCACTCCCACCGCCGCTGTCTCCTCCCCCACTGCCGCCACTAGTCTCCCCAGCCGCGCCTCCACTCCCACCGCCTCCACCCCCACCTCCTCCGCCGCCACCCCCACCCCTGCCTCCCTTGTTCCTGCGGCGCCCGCTCGAAGCAGACGCGGTCCCGACCTTCTCAGCACCAAGAAGGTCGACAGCAGCAGCAGAGGCGACAGAGGGGAGGAGGGGGGAAGGGGAACACCCCTCAAAGAACGGGGTGCGGGGGTCGCCACGAGAGGTGCCTACAGCGACGATGCTCGCCTCAGCTGCAAGCAGTTCCTTCTCGAGAGAGGAAGTGGTCCCTGACTGCGCGCAGAGAGTCAGGGAGGCGGGTGACGATGTGGTAGAGAGTGATCCAGAGCGGGGGGGGGTTGCTAGTGAGAAACTCGGCAGGCATAGCAGCGCGAAAGCGGGCCTCACTAGTCTTAAGGTGGGTGATGAGGTCTGCGACAGTGTGAAAGGAGGCTAGGTCAGGGAACAGGTAGGGGAGAGTGAGGCGGCCTAGCGTGGCAGAAGCGGGTGAGGAGTAGCGGGCAACTACAGCGGTGTAGAGGTCCTTAGCAGTCTTGCACTGGCCGAAGTGCTCGCGCTCGTCTAGCGGCAGGGAGTTGCGAATAGCAAAGCGAGCGTGCGCATCACGGGTCTGCCACTGAGAACGCAGAGTGCTGTCAGCAGACGAGTCAGGGGCAGTGGCATGGCCTAGGGCGTGGTCGTACAGTGAGATATCTTCCTTGGCAGTGAGCTGTAGGAACAGGTGCAGGTCATCTAGCCAGGTTTCGAACTTCACTGGACGGCCCTCGGCATCGAAAGCTAGAACTGGCGGACTAGCCATAGCGACAGTAGCAGTAGCAGTAGTAGCAGTAGTAACAGTAGTAGTAGGAAGCAGGCCGCTGGAAAGGTGTGCGGAGGGTCAACGGGGCCGGCGGGGCCGCTAGGCAAGGCGCGGGCGGGGTCGACTGTCCGTAGTGGCACACGAGCGGCAGTAGTAGGTAGCGGGCGGCGGCTGCAGAAGCGCACGGGCGGCAGCGGCGCACGGGGAACGGCGGTGCACGGGCAGCGGCAGCGCACGGGCAGCGGCAGCGTAGGAGCAGCGACGGCGCACGGGCAGCGGCGGCGCACAGGCAGCGGCGGCGCTCGGGAGGCAGCAGTGCGCAAGCAGCAGCGGAAGCAGCGGCGTACGAGCGGCTGCGGGCAGCGGGGCGTGCGCGAGCAGGCGACGAGCGGCTGATACGCACGGGCAGCAGCGCCGACAGCGCACGGGCGGCTGCAGCAGCGAGCGGTGCGCAAGCAGCAGCGGCAGCAGCGCACGGGTGGCAGCGGCGTCGGTGCACGGGCGGCTGCGGGCAACGGGCGTGCGGCAGCTGCGGCGGCGAGCTGCGGGCCTGCGGGGCCACGGCGGGGTGTGCGCGAGCGGGCGACGGGCGGCTGCAGCAGCGGGCGCGTCAGCGAGGCGCACAGGCAGCGCGCGGGCAGCGTGCGGGGCCGCGCGTAAAGAAAACAGCCGCGCGCGTGCGGCTAGCGGGGCGCGCGCAGCGAAATCGACCGCGCGCGGGCGGTTAGCGGGATACGCGCGCAAAAAAAAAAAAGTCGAGTCGCGCGCGGGCGGCTGGCGGGCTGCGCGCGCGCGGTAGGTAGGAGGCGCACGAGGGCGCGTAGGCGCACGAGGCGCACGGTAGGTAGGTAGGTATGTAGGTAACGGTGGGCCCTAAGAACGGTCCTAGCGAAGGACCTGCTCTGAAACCATGTCAGAAATAACGGACTGGAATGATGAACTAGCAAGGATTGTGAGTACAAATATGAAACCCTAATGTTGTGACCCCCCTATAGGCTAACCCACTACAGCCTACACAAATACAACATGTATAATGTTTGACAAGGCTATCACAGAGGGCAAGTGAGGAGGAGGAGAAACTGTGGGAGCAAGAAGATGAGAGGCGACGGCTGAAGCTGCAGACACACAGGCAGCAGGAGTACGCCGCACTGACGCTACCAGGCTAAACCCGGACTACACGGCGACAGGGGGTCGCAGCTGGCTCGCTGTGCTCCCAGGAGTGCACACACTGTAGCTACCGGGCGCAGAGCCCCGGACTACTCAGGCCACAGGGGGTCGTGGCTCCCTGGACTTCAGGCGCTGCGGACGACAAGTCGACGGCCTCCTCTCAACTTCCCCCAGCTGTCCCACCCCCTTTTTACACACCCCCTGCTGTTCCCCTAGCACCGCTCACACTACACCCCCTAGCGCCACTCCCTCGGCTCCCACACACCCACCCCCCTCAGCGGCAGCTGCAGCAGTGGGAGACGGAGAAGGAGGAGGAGGAGGGGAACGGCACTCAGTGGCTTCACCCCCATACCCCTCACCCCCAAACCCTAATTCAGGAGAACGGGCTGTAGGAGGGGTGGGGCGCCAGTAGAAGCACGGGGGACAGTGGGGAGGGCAGGGGCAGCGAGGAACGGGCCGCCCACGGGCCTGGCATAGCCGCCCGAACCGCGCGCAGGCGGCCCGAGCCGCGCGCGGGCCTGGCGCTTCCCGTACGGGCCGCGCGCGGGCCTGGCGCAGCCCGTACGGGCCGCGCGCCGGCTGTACGGGCCGCGCGCAGGCCACGACGGGCGACGGGGGGCGACGCGCGGGTCCCCGTCGCCCGTCGCAGCGCCTCCCGGGGGCGACGCGCCGAGTGACGGGGCAGAAAACCGCCGCGCGCCCCGGGCGCGCGGCGGGAAGAAAAAATCGCTGCGCGCCCGGAGCGCGCGGCAGGCAGGAAACAGCAGGAAACAACAGCGGAAGCTTCTGGTGGGACCACCCACAGGATCGACCCAGGAGGGTCGACCCGCTCTGATAGCATGTCAAAATGCTAGGCCAAAACGAGAAACAGGCAAGAAGGGTTTTGACTAACAAGCATAGGGATACATATATGCAAACCCTAGAAGGGCTGTACTCGCTATAGAGTACCCCACTGCAGGCTAGACAACCATCACATTCTGACAGCTAGGCCCTTGTTCTTGCAATTTTGCAGACGCTAGGCCCTTGTTCTTGAATTTTTGCAGACGCTAGGCCCTTGTTCTTGAATTTTTGCACTCGCTAGGCCCTTGTTCTTGAATTTTTGCAGACGCTAGGACCTTGTTCTTGAATTTTTGTAGACGCTAGGCCCTTGTTCTTGAATTTTTGCAGACGCTAGGCCCTTGTTCTTGCAATTTTGTTGACCCTAGGCCCTTGTTCTTGAATTTTTGCAGATGCTAGGCCCTTGTTCTTGAATTTTTGCAAACGCTAGGCCCTTGTTCTTGTTGAGTGCAAAATGTTGTTTGCACATCAACCTACCGCCTATTCGTCGACGGTAAAGGAAAATGGGAGTTCTTGGTTTAAGGTTATTTGTGGAGTGTGAGGAGCGCATTTGTGTGCTTTGCATTTGTGCGTCTACGGTTTGTGAATCGCCCTAGCGGTTCGTGAGTTATGTGCATTTTTGTGTGTGAGTGCATTTCATCAATTATCATGAGTTTCCGTGAGAGCGCATGAAATTTCGTGAGTTTCGGTAAGTTCGCGTGAGTTCGCGATTATTCATGAGTCTGCGTGTGCACTCATTGTTTCTCATGCGTTTTCGTGGGTTTTCATTAGAGTTCATGAGGGTTCATATTTTTCGTGTGTTTTAGAGTGTGGCGAGTGTTTTGCCACTTTGACTTTTTCGTTCTTGTCAAGGTCAACCGAGCACGAAGGTCAGGGCCCGTGCGTGGGGTCTTGAAACGCACGTGTGGCCCCTCAGGCCTCGTGCGTGTGCCTCGCACTGTGGCGAGCGTGCACAGTGCGCACGTCTGCAAAAGGACAGGGCAATCGATTGCCCTGCCCTCGAGCAGGACAGCGCACGTTCGTGCGCTGTACAGCATGACCAAAAATTCGGTCGTGCATGATTACGCACGTGCAGGGGTGCGCGAGGGTTTCGGGGAGTGCCGAGAGATCCCGAAGGGTGCTCGGGATTGACTCGATATTTCAGTTGGATAACTTAATATCGAGCCTTGGCTTTTATGACGTGGCGAACAGGATACTTCGCCAGAAAGTCACGCTACATTGCGTGTTCATTTCGACAAGGTACATAACGGTAATTTCCGTTTTACAACGGGAAAACGGTTTTCCCACACGGGGCTTCATGAATGTTAACGGGAATTCATGAGTGCTCGCGATGGGAGTCAGCAGGGGCGTTTGGATCAAGTACAACTCGAATTCAGTTATTCTAAGGAAGCGTATCAAGCCAAATGCAGCTGAAGTTGACAACCGTTTTACCAAGACAACATGGCGAAGTCATCTCTTCTAGTTATATAACTGTTTAATGTTCGCCTTGTGTTTGCTTTAGTTCGTGCTTAGTGCTTTCTATATATGCGTGCTTGTGTTTCATTGTAAACAACTTTTTGGAGTGAACATTTTCACTATCGACGTATTGACGCGAGGAGAAATTTCTGCATACAAGCCAATCGATCGTTAACGCTTCCGCATATGTTCTTGGGAGTGATCTAGTGCACACGACTGCTTTCACGCTTGAAAAGTTCCTCTACAAACACGGACCCTTGGATAGGGGCTGGTTTTACCAGGCACCCAAGGACCCTTGGAGGTGACCCCGTGGGGACTATCTTGCGTTGATTAAAGGTGTGCTTAGAGCTTCTAGGTCCCGAATAGCAGCCAACACGTGGTATCAGAGCTGGTTCTAAGTCCTTGTTGGACTTCTTGCCGTTAGAACACCATGGAGTCGGGCGGAACGGAAGGTTCTCTTGCATGCGCCAATAGTGGAAGCCAAGACACTGGAGGTTCAGCGCTAAGAGGAGTGCGGATCGGCCAGGGCTCACTATTGCGAGAGGTGCTCATGAACTTCACCGTCGACAAGTTCAACGGCAATGGGTACGACGATTGGGCGTGGAAAATGCAGCCGTACTTCCGTCAAGTCGGATTGTTGAAGATAATGATTGGAGAGGAGGAGAGGCCGAGCGACCCGATCCTGCAAGGGGAGTGGGACGAGCGTGCATCGGCCGGTTACTACCTCCTATCGCAAACGTTGGAGCTGAACCAGAGAGCACATGTGATGCATTTGCTTGGGGAAGCTGATAACGGGCCACGAGCATGGAAAGTGCTTAAGGAGCTGCACGCGCCAACATCGGTGGTTGCTACGCTTATGTTGGAACGTGAGTTGGCTTCATTGCGCCTGACTGAGGGGGAGCCGATTCAGCCGGTCCTTGACAAGATGAGGGAGCTATACGCGAAGCTCCAAATTGCGGGCATCACCTACCCGGAGAAGACGAAGTGCCTACGCATGTTCTCACTGCTGCCCGAGCCCTGGATGCCGTTCACGAGTGGGCTAAGCCTGCCTCAAAACCAGGAATTGTGGACGCTTGAGTGGGTGCGTACCAAGATCTTGGAGGAAGACTTTAGGAGGAGGCAGCTGAGTCACAGTGACGATGGAGACAGTGGCTACGGGGTGCAAGGCAGCGGATGGCGTAAGGGAAAAGGCCGGGATGAAGGTGAACGCGGGCGTTATGGAAGCAGACGTGATGATAAGAAGCCGAGCAACAAGCGCGATGAAGAAGAAGATGATGATGACGAGGACGATCGTGGTGACTACCACAAGTTCAAGGGAGCTTGTTGGTACTGCAAGAAGCCGGGGCACACTTGGGTGAAGTGCTGGAAACGTCCGAAATGGTGGACTCCCGAACAATGAGACAATGACAGAGCTAGGAACCAACCTCACGGAGTTGGTTATGTAGCAGAGACCGCAAGTGACGGGGGAGATGATTGGGAGAGAGCACCGGGACAGTTCTTCCACGTGCAAGGGAACGGGGGGAGTGAGAATGCAACTGCCAAGGAGGGAGCAGCGCCTCATCCTCTCAACACGTGGATTCTTGACTCCGGAGCGGCTCATCACATGACCCCGAGGGCGGACCAGCTAGACAAGGTTAGGAAGACAAGCATCACTGAAATGAACTCGGGATGCGGTCACAAGATGAAAGTGATTGGAGTCGGCAAGGCGGCCTTCAAGGGAGCTGACGGGAAGACGATGATTTTGGTGAACGTGCTCATGGTGTCGGAGCTAAAGGGGAACCTGATCTCGTTGAGGAAGATGGGGATAGCAGGTGTATGCACGGCCACTAATGGAGCTGAAACGTTCAAGGGGAATCGCGGTGATCGAGTATTGTGGGACTTGCATGAAGACAAGGACTTGCATAATGAGTTGTGGCATGTGCCCGTGGTGCCATGGCGTGAAATGGTACCTGAAAATGAGAATGGGAGCTGCGGCTGTAAAGGAGTGTGTGTTGCAAGTGCTGTAGCGGAAGTGAAGGAGCTGAAAGCTACCGTGGCGAAGCTTGTGAAGGAGTTGCACAAGGTCAATGCTCGACTTGCAGCAGCTGAAAATGGAAAAGCAGCAGCGGCTGATGAGAAGAATGGTGTTGAGGCCAAGGGGAGTAACGGCAAGGTTGATGCTGTGCACAAGGAAAAAGGAGTGCACAAGGATGACACTCGAAAGCAGCAGGAACTTCATAGGATGGTGCAGCCAAGGGTTGAAGCTGCTAAGGAAAAGGCAATGATGCCGAACTATGCAAGCGTTGTAGCTAGGCCCTTGTTCTTGCAATTTTGCACACGCTAGGCCCTTGTTCTTGCAATTTTGCACGCGCTAGGCCCTTGTTCTTGCAATTTGGCACGCGCTAGGCCCTTGTTCTTGCAATTTTGCACGCGCTAGGCCCTTGTTCTTGCAATTCAGCACATGCTAGGCCCTTGTTCTTGCAATTTTGCACACGCTAGGCCCTTGTTCTTGCAATTTTGCACACGCTAGGCCCTTGTTCTTGCAATTTTGCACTCGCTAGGCCCTTGTTCTTGCTATTTTGCACACGCTAGGCCCTTGTTCTTGAATTTTTGCAGAGGCTAGGCCCTTGTTCTTGCAATTTTGCATACGCTAGGCCCTTGTTCTTGCAATTTTGCACACGCTAGGCCCTTGTTCTTGCAATTTTGCACACGCTAGGCCCTTTTTCTTGCAATTTTGCACACGCTAGGCCCTTGTTCTTGCAATTTTGCACACGCTAGGCCCTTGTTCTTGCTATTTTGCACACGCTAGGCCCTTGTTCTTGCTATTTTGCACACGCTAGGCCCTTGTTCTTGCTATTTTGCACACGCTAGGCCCTTGTTCTTGCAATATTGCAGACGCTAGGCCCTTGTTCTTGCAATTTTGCACACGCTAGGCCCTTGTTCTTGCTATTTTTTCACGCGCTAGGCCCTTGTTCTTGCAATTTTGCAAGAACACTGTGGCTACCAGGCGCAGAGCCCCGAACTACACGGCCACAGATGCAGCTGGCTCTCTGGACTACTGGCGCCGCGGACGACAAGACGGCTGCCTCCACTCAACTTCCCCCATCTGTCCCACACCCCCTGCTGTACCTCTAGCACTGCTCACACGCCACCCCCCTCGTACCACTCCGACGGCTCCAACACATCCACCCCCCTCAGCGGTAGCTGCAGCAGTGGGAGATGGAGGAGGAGGAGGAGCAGGGGACGGCGCACACACCCGTCACCCCCATACTCGCCACCCCCACACTCGCCACCCCCAAACCCTAACACAGGCAGCAGCGGGGGGCGGTGCGCGGGCAGCAGCTCGGGGGATGGCGCGCGGCTCAGGCTGCAGCTCGGGGGACAGCGCGCGGATCTGGCGCAGGGGCCGCGCACGGGCCTGGCGCGGGATGTACGAACCGCGCGCGGGCTGTACGAGCCACGCGCGGGCCTGGCGCAGCCCGTACGGGCCGCGCGCGGGCCTGGCGCAGGCCGTACGGGCCGCGCGCGGGCCTGGCGCAGCCCGTACGGGCCGCGCGCGGGCTGTACGGGCCGCGCGCGGGCCTGGCGCAGGTCGCGCGGGCCGCGTCGGGCGATGGGGGGCGACGCGCAGGTCCCCGGGGGCGCCGCGACGGGCGACGGGGGGCGACGGGCAGGTCCCGGGGCGCTTCGACGGTGGGAAATTGCCGCGCGCCTCGGGGCGCACGGCGGGCAGAAAACCGCCGCGCGCACGGAGCGCGCGGCGAGCAGAAAACCGCCATGCGCCCCGAGCGCGTGGCGGGAAGAAAAAACGTCGCGCGCCACGGGGCGCGCGACAGACAGGACAGCAGCGGAAGCTAACGGTGGGCCCACAGGCCAGGAGCGGAACCGCTCTGATAGCATGTCGAAACAGTAGGCAGAAACTAGAAACAGGAAAGAGGGTTTTCACTAGCAGGCAGTTGAGTACATATAGCAAACCCTAATTTGGGCTGTACTCGCTATAGAGCACCCCACTGCAGGCTAGACAAACATCACATTCTGACACATCGGTCATCGGCGCTCGCGAATGAAGAGCGCCCGCTGCACTTCCTGCACGTGTGCGGATCCTTCCGCGTTTTGGGGCTGGAAGCGCTCGTTCCGAGTGTTTTTCTTCCGCCGGGTCACGTGGCTGCGCTTTTCCGGGTCTATTACCAAGCCAGCAAGGGCGTGGAAGGGTTGCGAGCATCATCGGTCATCGGTGCTCGCGAATGAAGAGCGCCCGCTGCATTTCCTGCACATGGGCCACCCGAATATGCAACAACATTTAGGTTGTTCGACGCTTTTCCCTACGCCTATAGGGATTTATAGTAGACATTTGTTATAGCAGCCGCCGAACTTTTCTGTGCGCACGAACCAAGCTGAAATTGCTCCGATATGTGTTTTTGAATATGGGCCAGCCGAATATGCAATAATATTCATGTCATTCGATGATCTTCCTTACATCTATATTGGTTTATGTGCTTCCTTAGCATTTGTCGGCAGACACAGCCGTCATCGCTGTAGCCGAACTTTTCTGTACGCACGAACCAAGCTGAAATTGCTCTGGTAGGTGTATTTGAGCATGGGCCACCTGAATATGCAACAACATTCAGGAGCAGTTTCGTAGCTGCGATTACTGCACTCTCATAGATTCTTGATTTCATATTCTCTAGGAGCAGGCATTGCAGGCCATCTCATGCACGCAGATTTTTATACGATGCCTAGAGTACAGCCAACAGCATATGTGCGGCATTGTTGTGAAAGTGACGCAATGAGGAAAGTAGCCTCTTTTCTTTTTAGCCTTTTGTAGTCTCTGCTTCATGCAACCATGACTGTGGCAGTTCCCAGCTCTCATGCCATGTAATTACTGCATGGGTCACAGCACCACCCTCCACTGCAACTTGCTGAGAAGCCATTTCCTCATCCTTCAGCCGGCCCCATACTGTGGGTGTGCTGCCATTGCCCAGCAGGTGCAGGGGCAACCACACATAGCGTGAGTCAGCGAGGTCCTGCTTGTTCCACCGGTCTGCTAAAAACACAAACACGCCGGGCGGGGCGTTGGGAAGCGGCAGCACAAACGTGCCCTGCGACTCGAACGTGCTGCTGCATGAGGGCGCCCATGCACCAGGCGCCGACTCGCCCTGCCACGGCCACCTCTGCTGCTGGTGCTGGTGCTGGTGCTGGTGGTGGTGGTTGGAGCATGGTGCGCCGAGCAGGCGCCACTCACCCAGCATGTGCGACGCCACATGCACCTCAGCCTCGTTGGGGTCCCACCCTGTGCATGCTGACGTCACCAGGAAGTAATGCTGCCGTAGGGAAAGAGCCACAGGCAAGGAGGAGAAGCAGGAGTGGTGGGGACATACACATGAAGGCATGCCATGCCATGCCATCCCATGCCATGCAATGCAATGCAGCGACAGGGGCGCCGGGCAGCAGGGCGGCCATGTGAGTGAGAGGGCACTGACTTGCCGGTACTTGAAGACGGCGGGCGCCTCTCTGGAGCGCCCCACAAAGCGCCGCACAAAGCCACCGTCGACGTCGAGGTAGTCGGGGGTGAGGCGTGCAATGTGCAGCACGGCGTTCATCTCACTGGCGTACACCACGTACGCCACCCCGTCCTCGTCCGCAAACACCGTCATGTCCCGACTCTCCTGCCCGTTCGGCCGGAACCTGCCCACGTACTGCCCACACACGGCGCATCAGCACGCCCCACCACACATGCTCCATGTCGCATGCACGTATAAACAATAGGAGTGAATGGGCCTACAGCAAAAGGACAAGAAAAAGCTGAGTGGGGAAAGAATTCGAAGGGCGGGCGAGGAATGCAAGAAAGGCCCAAGGGGTGCAGTTGGAAGCAGCAGGGCAGCGAGGTACCGTGAAGGGGCCGTGCGGATGGGAGCTGACGGCGACGCCTGTGGTGGCGAGGTGGTAGGCGGCGTCGTCGACGTGCAGCCACATGACGTAGCGCCGCGCCGCCGCGTGGAACAGCACCTTGGGGCGCTCCATCACACGGCTCACGTGCAGGTCGCTGGCGGGGTCGTGCGTGTTGGGCGCCAGCACCACCCCGTGCGCCCGCCAGTGCAGCAGGTCCGCGGAGCTGTAGCAGCTGATGCCCACCACGTCCACCTGCTCTGCTCCAACGGCCGCACGGGGGGGGGGGAGAGCAAGGGGGGACAGGGGGAGGGGGGGGAGGGCAGGAGAGGGAGGGAGTGATAGTGGGGCAGAATGGCATTGTGCGGCAGGTGATGATGGTAAGGCATGACGCCAAGGGGGTGAGCGGGCGAACTGGAGGTGCCACTGGCGCCGTGGCGCCGTGCCTTTTCCCTGGTGCTGCCCATGCGGGGCTCTGGATCATGCCATGGCATGTCGTGCTGCGCCATGTGCAGCAGCCACATGCGGGGCGGAGTGCCACTGGTACTACTGGCGCGCGCATGCGAGCGTCAGGGCGCTTCTCACCCGTTCCAGCGAGCCTTTGAGCGCGTACGTGTCGCCGTCCTTGTTCTCGCCGTACCAGTAGTAGCGCCGCTCGCTCGCCACGTACAGCACGCCCCCGCCGTGCGCCTGGATGCGCCGCCCCTCCTCATCCAACCACACCCGCCCCGGCCACAGCCGCCCCCCTTCCCCCTGAAACGGACGCCCGCGCGGCCACAGCTGCCTCCGCCGCGCGCCCGCCTGCCATCCCTGCGATGCCTGCGCGCCCTCGCCTTCCCCCTCCGATTGCCCCCGCCATGCGCGCCGCGCCCAGCTCACCGCTCCGCGTGCGGAAATGCCCGCGGCCAGTGGGGATGTGTGGAGGAGGTCGGAGTGAGTGGAGGAGGAGAGGCGCGGGGGGAGGAGAGGCGCGGGGGAGTGGAGCAGCAGGAGCGCGGAGAGCGAGAGCGCTACGAACGAGAGGGCCGCGGCGAAAGTGCAGCGGCGCAGCGCGGAGTGACGGTCGGCGAACGGGAGGCGCGTGCGGCGACGAGATGGCGGCATCGCGCGCAAGGTGGTGGGCGCAAGGTGGTGCGCGCAAGGGACGGCGCAAGGGACGCGCGCACGGGCGCAAGGGACGGGCGCAAGGGACGGGCGCAAGGGACGGGCGCAACGGAGAATTGGCGCGGACAGTAATGATCGCGCGAATTGTGTGACGACAGCGACTCAAACTGACAGCAGATTGAGATTCGCTGTGGCTGGACAGTTGCTGGTTTGCCTAGCTTGACTGTGCCCTTTACAGGTGAACTCGATATACTGGTAGCAAAAACCTGGCTTGTAGTTATCATTCCTCGCTGTAAATTCTGTCACATGGTTATCATTCCGTTTGGCTCCATGTTTGTCATTCACAAATTGCTTTTGATCGTTAGTACATAACGAAACGAGTGAGTACATAACGAAGTGTGTAGGAAGTCAATTTCAGAGTGCCTGATAGTCATCTTCCCCTTGCCCTCCGCGCGTGCCGTTCCTTCACTCGCCTCTCCCTGCTCCGCCGCCATACTCGTTCCGCACCACATGGAAGCACCCGGCATGCGCCGTGTGCTGCGAGCGGCGTGGGATCAACTCGCCCATGCCGCCATACCTCCGCGCACACGCACACAAGCGCAACCCGCGCGGATGTACCTTGTTCCCCACACGCCTGCCGCGTTGCCGCGCGGCTCCGCACCGTCACCGTCACCGTCACCATCATCACTCCCTGCTGCTCGCGCGTTGCTTGCATGGGGCGGTTGGCGGATCAGCGGCGAGGGGAGCTGGCAGCCGGAGGCGCGCGGGGCAGTGGCGGGGCGAGCAGTAGCGGGTGGCGGCAGCGCGGAGGGGTGCGGCGCGGGGCATGACGTGCGGTGGCGAGGCGTGCGACAGGGCGGCGGCGATGAGGCGTGGGTGCGCAGCAGGCAGTGGAGAGTGGGGGGAGGGGCCGTCATGGACGCACACGTGTGGCACGTGCAAGGCGTGCGATCGTCGCACTCTGACGCCGTACTCTCTCGCCTCACCTTCTCTTTCCCGCCTGCTTTCTTCATTGCCTCGCTCCATCCATCCATCCATCCTTCTCCTCGCGTCTACCCTTGCTTGGCCTCCCCTCCTTGGCGCTGTCGCTCGCTGCCTCTGCTCATCTAGGTTGTGCCGTGCACGGCAGCCCCCACCTCAACGCTGCTCTCCCTCTACCTGTGTGTGCTGTGCAGGCGCCCGCATCTCGCCCCTCCTCCTGGCTCCCTCCCCGCCTGCTCGCCGTTATCCCTGCACAGTGGCAGGAGCTGTTGGAACATCCACGCACTGCACTGCACCGCATTGCATGGCAGTACAGGGATGCAGCAGGTATGAGTGCCATAGGCAGCAGCTCGCCAGAAAACCACCCTCTGCTGCCACTGCCCTTCCGTGCCTTCTTCTGCCATGTGTTGTGCGCGCTCTCCCTCGCATCCCCTGCACCGCCTTCACCTCGTGCCATGGGCACGTGCGACTCTTCCCCCGCCCGCCTGAGCAGCATTGCAGGTGGAGGCGTTTTGGCGCAACCACTCGCTGCTGCTGCTCTCTGCTGGGGGCGTGTCCCTCTCGCTGCTGCTCTGGGGCTGCTCCTTCCGCCTTGCCTCTCTCTTCCTCACCATGCCACCCAACTCCCTCGGCCTGCCCTACCTCCTCGCCTCCTGCACTGCTGTCGCTGCTCTGGTACGCCTCACCTCACTCCCTTGCTGCACCACCACCCCCACCATCCCCATCCACCACGCCCGTCCTTGCCTCCCCCACATGTGCACATCCCTCGCAGTCCTTCGTGCTTTCCTTTTCACTCATTCCCTACTCCTCCCCCCTCCCCCCACCCCCACCAACCACAGGGCGGGGCAGTGAGGGCGCACACGAGCATCAGTCCAGCAGCAGCATACCGCATGGCCATGTGTGCCCTCAACACGCATGCGGGTGTGCTGGAAGTGCTGGGAGCACCACTGGTGGGGGCGCCTGTGAGGGCGTACGTGCAGGGGGGCGGGGGCATCGTGCTGTCAGGCATGGCTGTGCGCGCTGCCCCGCGGGACTGCTGGCTGGTGTTCCCTGTGCGCGGTGCAGAGGGGCGTGGTGTGGTGCAAGTGCACGTGCACCGCCACAACGGGCAGGTCAGCTGCCATGCCCTGCCAGCACCATGCCCACACACCACATCAACCGCTGCCTGCCCGTCGTATCCTCCTCAATTTCACTTCTAGCTCATTGCCGCGTTGCTCATGTGTGATTCACGCTGCACACCCCTCATGTGCTTTTTTGTGTTGCACCTTGGCATCTGTGTGTGTGTGTGCAGTACGACCTGCAGCTGGTGGCGGTGGACGTGGCAGCCGGCAGTGCAGGCAGCGAGTGCGTGATGGTGGTGGGTGATCATGCTGCTCTCACCCGTGCACAGCCCTTGCTGCAAGGGCTCAGGCACGCACTGGACAATGTGCAAGGCAGGCAAGGAGGGGCAGAGACGAGGGCTGTGGAGAATGCCCAACAAGAACAGGGCTGATGAAGTTCAGCTGAGCGCATACTGGAATGGTGGCATGGTGACAGTCGCACCAGCTCTTGTGTGCCTGCTGGTTGGAATGTCGTGTCATAATAGGTCAAGTAGTACATGGTATGGTAGCTTACTACACAAACAAGACTCCTTGATGGGTGGTCACTTATTTGCAGACACATGCCACTGATAGCGCATGGCTTGCATGAGCAGTGGCACATAGCGATCCAGATAGAAAAGGGCTCACTCACTACTTGAGCACTCTGCACCTGCCCTACCTTGCATTGCATTGACATTCCAAGTCTACCCTCCCACTGCAAACGGGAGAACACAGCTCTGGCATTGCAAGCATGGCCCTGCAACGCAACGGTCTGCCTCAATGCACGCACTGTGCTGACCCCCCTCAGCAGCAAGCACTGCGTGGTTCCCTACCCTCAGTCTGCGCTCTATAGCCGTACGAGCTCAGCTGGGCCATTTTTTCTTAGCAGGGATGCAGTGAGCGCCCTTCCGCTGCATCATGGGGTGAAAGCAGAGCAGGTGCCATGTGGTGGGAGAAGGATGCCACGTAGGCTATGCTCATGCATGTGACAGATGGGCAGGCGGAGTGGCCTACAGCCCATTGGGGTGAAGGGAGCCAGGTGGGGTGAGAGCTGGCGGGTGTGTGTGTGGGGCAGTGTGGGGGTGAGGGTGCAGCGAGAGGTGCTGCATGCCGCCACTCATGTGGCACAGCAGCATGTCCATCAGCCCCTCGCTCTCCGCTGCCTGCTCCGCATCCACCTCCCCCACCCCCACTCCGCCCCCGCCCGCCCCCCCTGTGTCCTCCAGCCCATGCTTCCACCATGCGTCCACGCCCCCATCGCCCACCACACCCGCCTCCCCACCCGCATCTGTGGGAAAGAGGGCCGGCCACTCACACGCCCTCCCACCATCACACACATCCGCGCCCTCATACGTGCCGTTTGCACCCCCGCAGCTGCCACCATTGCCACTCCATACCACTCCGCCCTTGCCCCTCGTCCCCTCTGCCTGCGCATCCGAGCCCTTCCTGGTCCCACCCTCTCCTCCCACCACCCCGCCACTGTCTGCCACGTCAGACTCCTCCGCCTCCCACTTGCAAGCAGCAGAGCCGTTTATGTGCTCCCCCACCGGGCCCCCATCATCCCTGAGGAACATGCCCACCTCCTCCCACTGCTCCTGCTTCACCACTGCCCCTCCCTGCCCCACTGCCCATTCGCCTCCACTCCTGCTCCCAGACACTCCCCCGCCACCCATCCCCTGCTCGCCCTCCGCCTCTCCCCCACTGCCTGCGCCCTCGTGGTTCCCCTCGCCCCCACTGGGCGCAGGGCACCCTGCAGCAGGCGCATAGGAAGGTGCGGGGAAGCCAACCAGGTGCTCTGGGGTGAGCTGCGGGGAGGAGGGGTGGAGAGGAGGGGCAGGAGGGACATGGACGAGGGGGGACAGGAAGAGAAAGCGGGAGTGGGAAAGAGTGAACGAGTGGAGTATGCGTGTTGAGGACTGAGGAGGGGGGAGGGGGGAGGGGGGGGGAGAAAGAGCAGGGAGAAGAGGAGAAGTGGGGAGGGGGTGGTTTGTAAATGGAGAGTCAGTGCATGGCAACATTGAAATGGGAATGTGGCATGACATTGTCACGGGGACTGGTGCGATGGCAAGGCATGGTGTGAGGGGGCCTGGCAGCACCTGGAAGAGGTC